GTGCTTGGAGACATCTCAAAAAAGCGGTTTAAAATGTTGCAAAATACACATATCTCAAAAATTGCATCCAGCTGGTCTCGAAAGGCGATTAGAGTTTTGTAATTGGCTAATAAAAAGACCTGATTTTTCTGTTTTCCTGGAAAATATAATTAGGACAGGAGAAAGCACTTTTACGAATTGTGGGATATTTTTGTTACCCAATATAAAAATATTGTAATCGTTTTCGTATCTGTTACGATTTGGAATATAGCAATGTCACCACATGATAAAAGAAACGGCCTGAATAGGTATATGACGATTATTTTAAACATCAAATCGCCAATAATAAGCTTTCATTCGGAAATAGGTATATGCCATCGGACTTCAAGAGCGAAAAATTGTGGAATCCATACAAGTCATGCATCTGACAAACAGTCTGGTTCCATCAGAACACTACTAATCAATAACTCATCTCTCACATAAAATGAAATTTTCACATTACATTTCATATTTACCTTTCATGAAATGAGCTCCGAGGAACCATTACATTCTGGGAACTCAAAACCATTGAAACAGTGCCACCTCCAAAGTACGTTTTCTTCAATAGTTCTTCGCTGGATTTTCTTACTAACAGTACTCCTAATCCGGTGGGATATCCAAACATTTTATAAAATGATATTGTCACAAAATCTGGTTTATACAGTGATAAATCTAGATGATTTGTTGCCGCATAACCAGGGGCATCGAGAACAACATACCAGTTTTTACTTTTAGTTTCTACCAGTTTATTCAAAGCGCCGTTTTTAACACAGTGGATCCAATCCAGGGGAAATTTTGTCCCTGAGAAGTTACATTCGGCTGGGTATACAAAAAGGTTATTGGCACCGTTACTGTCACTGCAGGGCTTATCGGTTTTCTTGGACATCAGCACGAAAGCCTCTTCTGTTTTGATTTCCTTAATGTTTTTCGCAAAATTTCTCATTCCAAGTACAGACGTGTGATTATCTTCTAAATGGGCTAAGGTTCCGGGATACTCGTCTCCGTAGTTGAAACATTCCGCGATAATCTTCAGAGCACTGGTTGTACCAGAAGTGAATACTACAGAGTATTCGTTGTTTGTTGTATTGAAGTGCTGCAAAATTCTAAAAAGGTATTGTACGATGTGAAGATAATAACACAGCCCACCAAAAAAAATTGTTGTCAACTGATTTGGTTAATTCATATGTGCTGATTCCAAAAATACAAACTGTTTCTTTGTATCAGCTCTAGTTTTCGAGATATAAAATACTCATCAAATACTTAAATATTCTTATATTTCTGTATATTCCACCACTATAATTGCAATATGTTTATAAACAAACCTGACAAATCCTTAGACAAATGCATACTAATGACTTCTAATTGAAGTGTACTTATTGGAAATGCCCATA